TTTTGTGCATTCAACAGAGGAAGATTTTGTGCATTGTATAATACGAGCACATACATTATGTATATAAAGGCATAGGCATGCATAATTTATTAAAAGTATAAATTTATATAAACCATTGACCAATGATGGAATCTGATTTTTGAAACTTTCGGCATATATATATATATATATATATATATATATATATATATATATATATATATATATATATTAAGGTGGTCCTTAAAATGGTCATTTTCGATTTTCCTTGCTCCCAGGGGCTCAAATGGTTCCAAATAGATAAAAAACAATTCTCTGAAAGTTTTAGCTCTTAATATTAACGTTTAGATAGAGCGCAATTCAATCAAAGTTTTGTATGAAAATAGCATGAAAAAATTTTCAAAAATTTAAAAATGTTTTTCAGATGTAATTTAGCGAACAAATGTATGAATAAAACTCATTCATTTGTCGCTAAGTTATACCTAAAATATTTTTTTTTTAATTTTCAAAAATTTTTCCATGCTCTTTCCATACGAAGTTTGATTAAATTGCGCTCTATCTAAACGTTAATATTAAGAGCTAAAACTTTCAGAGAATTGTTTTTTATCTATTTGGAACCATTTGAGCCCCTGGGAGCAAAGAAATTCGAAAATGACCATTTTAAGGACCACCCTAATATATATATATATATATATATATATATATATATTTATTAGATGGTAGAGTCTTGGATTTGTAAATATTTTGTAGAGCTTCGAACAAAGAATTAAAAAAGTAATAAAAAACAAAAAAATTTTTTAAAACACCATTTCTTTATTTATTTACTTTCGACGTTTCGGAACGAGGTACGTTCCATCTTCAGGACATCTGTCAAGAAACATGATCTTGACATAAGATTTAAGCAAACAATATGTTTAAGAAAAATAGAAGATGATGGATTTTTTATATAAAATGAATAAAATTGTGGAAAAAATAATGTATAGAAATATGACAATAGAATCAAAATGAAAATGATAAAAATAAATGAGTGGATTATATAACAAAATATTAAAAATCTTAAAAAAATAGCAAGTTTTAGAAAGTTTAAAGAAAAGGTTACTGAAAAACAGAATTAATTACCTGTATAATTGATTATACACTAACACTTCATCACTAAAAATTTTTTTATCAAAACAAGTGATTTTATAAATCGAAGAAACAAATTTGGTAATTCAATTTTTGTCAAGATATCTTTTTACCTGCGGACTTTTAAACCCCGCCCTACCCTATATATTAAAATATTTAATAGAGATATAAATATTTTATTAATAATATATAATGTAATATAATAACCGATTTTAGGTAAATCGGTGCGGTATTTTCTGGGAAATCATTTCATTATAAATTATAATTTATAATACATTAACCATATATTTGAATAATAGTTTCTTATTTTGGCGAAGCGACTAAAATAAATATATGAAATAATTGTTGATTGTTTAAACTATAATTGCAGGTTCTATATATGAAACATAAAATACTTTTGCTTTACATAAACCCCAACCAGTAGCATTTTGACACATTACACGTGCTCAGATAAGAATTCTTATCTTTTCGGAACATTTGCTCTCAGAGGCAATTGGAGCGACGTAGAAAATATATTACAAAGCAATCGCACTATGAAGAAATTCTATGGATTGTGAAGACTCACCAGTTTCGCTATCGCATTAGAGAGGAGTTACGTTTTAAGCTCTTTGTTTAGAAATTTGATCGTTAAACACATGTTTCATATATGATATTCAAAATTTTTATTAATGTTGCATTTTATTTAATTTTATTTATTTGATTGTTTTAATCGAAAATGAAAATTTTTGCATATCTTCACGTTTCAGAGGTTTTTGAACATTTTGGCATACCTCAGAAAAAATGTATGTGTGTGTAAGTGTGGAGACAATTTTTTGTCGACGAATTCGGGCATATGGATGAACAGATTCGGAAATTTAAAAAAACAATCGATTGCTATTGATAGGGCGATAAGCTGATTGGATTTTGGCAGGCAGGTCCAACCTTTACAGAGATACGGAGCAAAAAGAGTGCAGAAAATAGAAACCGAGTTTTTGAGAGAACAAAGTATTCGATTTGAATGATCCAAAAACATTCTGCTTATTTTGGCGAAACAATTGTTTTAGATTTTTTTTTATTTAATTTTTTTTTTTATTAATTTTTTTTTTTTGTATATCGAAAATAATTCAAATTTTAATTTTAATTCTGGCTAAAGTTCTAAAGCTCACTTAAATTCTTTAAATAAATAATTTTAACTTTGTGATTTATATAATTCTTATAAATATTAGAAAATGTTACAGTATTTATAATAATCTATTTGAAAACATTTCATATTCCTCGATCATTACGGCTCGGGAAGTTACAGCAATTTGCCTTAAGGCACGATGCCATACACCACTAGTTCTAATATAATTTTAGTATATAGTAAAAACGCTTTTCCGTTTAGTTAAAGCTGATTATTAGCTTTTCTAAAATAAATGTTTTGCATATCTATACGTTTCAAGACCTCCTGAGCATTTCGGAAAACCTTAGAAAAAATGAATGTATGTTTGTAAATATGGACACAATTTTCGTCCACTATTTCGGGCGCACGAATCAACCGATTTGAATTATTCGTAGTGATTAGTTTTTGGCTAAGATAGGTTCAACCGCAGAAAATGACAATTGGTAATTCATTTTTTGCGTGGACGGGGAATCCGATTAGATTGATTCTTAGTTTTTGGCAAAGACCGTTTGAGAAATACAGAGCAGAAAGTGTTAAAAGTGACAGTTTTTGAGAAAAGGGAGCTGCCGATTTGAATGAATCAAACAATATTTGAATTGTGTTGACGGAATGAATGATGATGAATGAATTGATTACATTTTTGCGATGGAAGGTTCAGCGGTTTTGCAGCGGTTTGACTTGATTTGACTTTCATGGATACATAAATTGTTAAATTATCTAAATTTTCGTAGAAATTGATTTTTTAAATTTTGACACTTTTTTGAATGAACAGATTTAATAAGGCGTTTAAGTAGAATTGTGAACATTCAAATTGAAATTTACGATAAATTTTAAAAATTAATTAATTTAAAAAGTTAATGTTTCTCTGTGTTTGTTAATTACACATCATATTACATCAAATCTAGAATATAAATCGAACACGAATAACTTAACTTTTAACAAAGTGGATTCTAGACTGTTTGCAGCAAATGTCGGAATATTTAAATTTTATGTTAAAAATAATATCCGAATTAAATCACTTGATTCTAATAAATATTAATGCAAATGCAGTATTTTAAAATGCAATTGTGGATAAATCATTAATCATTCTATCGACACGTCTTTTGTATTTGCAATTCTGATTCTAAGAAAAGACAGTATCGATAATGAAAGACATCCGATATTAATGCAACACAAAGCTTCAGATCATTTATTTCAGTATGGTAATGGACGCGCCAGTTTCGTTCTACATTTTAAGGAAAAGTGCATTAAAAATACGGCCATCGATGTAAAATTTAAATTCGCGGCTAATTAAATATTTATTGGCAAGACGTTTACAAAATTTCAAATAAATTAGAATATCTTTTAAATTCTTTTATTGTTTTAAAAACTATACAGTTTACTGCAAACATATGCATATCGGTAATACGAGCGAATTTTAAATTTAAACGCTGAGTTTAGTTACTAGCAAATATATTATAAATTTAATTGAACGTCATTTTGAATTTTTTATTTATATTTATTTTAAAATTTAAAATGCATAATATTCAGGCACTTTGTATAAAATTGTATATAACTGAGTATCATTTATTTATTTCTGTGGCAAGATCTAATATGAAGACTTTTAATCTTCTTGTCGTTTACGTTGAGTGCACATGTGAGTAATATGTATTATGTTACTTTATAATAATAATATTTATATATGTATTATATACATATATACAGTAGGCCCTCGCTTTACACGGCACTCTGGGTACACGGTTCCCATACTACACGGAGCTAAAAATCCGACATCCCTCCGACTACACGGACTTCTTATTACACGGTATTTGGTCAACAGCCCATAAGTTCGTTGTGCAAAAGGGTATTGATGTAAATTTTGTTATCGACTTTTATCTTTTAGACATGCCTGATTGTATAATAGCCGCCTAAGAACACGTTTGAGCTGACTACTGCGTCGCGCCAATTTTTGAATAAGGTGTCAATGTCCTACATGTCATTTCGTCCGTATTTCTCCTACTTCAAGTTGTATTTCTTGGTCTCCATACAACGCGATAAAAATGGTTTGATTTGTACCAACTCTGAGTCTCTCATAGCACGGTTCCCATACTGCACTATGTAAGGTTCCATAGAACGCACTACGAATTAGCCTGAATTGTATGTTAAATACGAGTTTCTTATAGCACGGTTCCTATACTGCACGGTACGCACTTGCCGCGTAAAGCGAGGGTTTACTGTATATATATATATATATATATATATATATATATATATAATTGAATAATCATATATTAAAAAGCTTGGAAAAAATACATTCTGAAATGCGCGCAGCATTTAGTAGAAATGTTAATCCACATAAAACTTTGTTTTTTCTTCGGTATTGAGTCTTTAGGAATATATAGGAATTGTTACTTTTTTCCTTCAGAATATTGACAGTGACCATAGTATGATAGTATGAGAATTATTACTTTTTTCCTTCAGAATACTGTTGTGTAATAAAATCAATTTTTTCCTTTTCAAATATAAAACAAACAAAAAAATTCTTCATCTTTCTCACGAAACCATCTGGTGGCGAAACGGAGTTCGTCGGGTTTGCTAGTATTTATATATAATATACTTATATATATATACATATATATATATATAATATATATATATATATATATATATATATATATATATATATAACTTTACGCATGCATGAAGATTAGGTTCAATATAATATTGTATTTTTGAATTATATATTTGTGAAACTAATTTATTTTTTTCTATATAGGTAATAACAGAGCCGCAACCTTTGTGTAAAGGAGAAAGTCAATTGAAAAAGCCAAAGCTGGAAGATTTTTATGCCTACGTCTACGCCATGGACCCGCAACAATATATCCAAGCAATTTACCAGTATGATCATTACTCAAGGCGCACTGGCGCATCTGCCTTTCACCCTTGGCCATCGCAGGGGGTTAATAAATCAGGGACTAAAGTGCGTGATTCACCTATTTTTCAACACACGGACCGCCTGCTTCCCCAAGTAGACCGTGAACGAACGCTTACGGCGAACGTTACCAAGAAGCAGGACAGTATCAGCCCTCAGCCGCCGGAAGACGTGCAGAAAGCTGAATTTGATAACAAAGAGACTGGAACCCTGGACAGAACGGAACCAGTCGTCACATGTGCCAGCAAATCCGATTCGGACGAAACGCCATCGGGTTCCAATGAAATCACATCCTCTACGTCCCCGCCGTTGTCACAGAGTATTGTCTGCGAGCCTCCCGAGCGGCCTCTACCGGATTCGCTGTTGCGGGCGTTACCCGAAGAAGCTCGCAAATATATAGAGAGATTGCAGTGTGAAAACGAAAAACTGCGACAAGGCCAAGCGAACAGGGACCGGTTAATAGAACAACTCAAAATTCAGCAAATGGTATTCACGAGATCTGAAACCAGCAAACCGTCGCCGCCCGTGCAAGAGGTTACCACATCGCAGGACCGTGACATCGAAATCGCACAGGAGCCCGACTTAGCGTTGGTACCGCAATCGGAACAGGATGGCAAAATGCTTTCTGAAACATTGGTAGAACACGAGCCCTGTGGACAACTTTCCTGCGGCGACAGCCAAACACAGAATGATGTGACGGTCGGAGATAACAGCGAGCAGAAGGAGGAAGGCGTGTCGGAACGCAATTCTGACTACAAGTCAGAAAACGCAGAAAACGTACAGCCCGTACACCAGTCAGAATCGGTGCCCGGGGTTGAACCCGATCGCCAGAATGTCGAATCGAACCGTCCAGCAAACTCGCCAACTCCGACCGGCTAGAGTCTGCAGAGTGTGCAGAGTCGATCTACACACAATCTCTTACGTCAGGGTTCGCAATTAAATGGCAAATCTGACACTATAAATTTTAGTGATTTTATATTTTAGTGATACAGATTTTAAGGATGAAAATCGTTTTTGAGATTTGATGTTATTGAAAACGTAAACTGTGAAATTATAACGTTTTGTTTGTTATGATAATACTTTGTGTTATTATAACTGTTAATAATAAGTCGTTCAATAATAAACTTTTTGATACCGCTACTACAATTTGAGTTAGGAATAGCGTCATGGCTGTGCAAAAGTTGTGTATATAAGTTTGTTGCAAATGAAAGATCGAAGATGAGTGTAATGGGTGTGCTTTTATAGAAAACAGTTTTGATTTAATTTTACAGACTTTGAAGACCCACCATAACCTCCTTTTTGAAAAATATAATATAAATTTGTAGGCCAGTTTAATATGATTAATTATGTAAAAATTTCAAATAATATTATTTGTACAAATATATATTACTATGGTAAAATACTACACTTAAAGAAACTTGTACATAATATTTAATTCATTAAATAGCTCTGTAGCATCGTCATTACTTAGTAACTAAGAAGGACAGTGTCATATTCTGAGCAATGGGCAATTTTTTCGCTCATGTTATATACGCGTTTGTTGAACAATGTTTAATGCGCCCACAATTTTTTTTATTTAAAAAGAAAATTGACAAGAAGGATCTCTAATGTTAAGTATCTGTTTATTTGATGAAAAATGAATGTTTTATTACTATTATATAAGAATTAATAACATATTTGCTCGAAAAAACTATTTATATGAAACAAAATATGATATTTACATATATTATTATATATAAATTACATTTTATCATACATAGTATTTTTGAACACATCACTTTAATACAACAAAATACCTTATGTCTTTATCGACACAAGCAATATGTGAAGTGCTAACTGTTAGGTTCTTTCAGAAATTCCAAATGGCGCAAAACATATATTTCTAATTGGAAAAAATATATATTACCATGTCTTACACTTTAAATAATATTTTTAACTTTGTTTCAAAAATATATTACATAACACATTTGATTTGTGTTAAGCTATTTTAAACTGCAAGACTTTTATATTTATTTATTTATATTAATATTTTATTTATTTATCAAAATAATTATATATATACATATATATAATATATGTATATATATAATATAAACTAATTGTGTATAACATACTTTATTGAAAATATTTTTGTTTTTCTATTGAAACTGTGTTTCTCAAAATGATGTGAAATAACTATAGTCGATATAACAAATTTTGCTGGAATTGGGGTTTGAGGTTTTTATAACTAATTTGGTTCCAATAAAATATGCAAATAAAAAATTGAAATCAATACAAATTGTCACCAAAAACCCAAAAAATATGATACAATATTGTGATGACACAAAATTTTAACAAAAAATATATTTAAGAAATGATAATTGTTATTCTAAAATAATACAAAAGGCTTGTTAGAATTGCATAGTACATCTTTTCATTACCAGAAATTACTGCATAATTATTTTTTCTCAATGTCAAAACGTTTGTTTAAAACTTCCCCAACTAATATTATTTGGTAATTTTATCTAAATTATGATGATTTTGTTAATGTACATAATAATGATTTTTCAGAAACATGTCTGGTACATAATATAGCACATAATATAGAAGTGGAAATTATTTTATAATTGTAAGGATGAAAAGAAAGAAAGCATAATAAAATTAATTACAAAAATTATGACATTAAATAAAATGACTTTAATTCCAATGTTAGTAATGGTGATATTGATATAAAGTTAATGACATATAATTATCTTGATACAAAGAACTATATTTTTTTCTTTTGAGTCTAGTAACAACTTCCATTTTTTAGCTAAATACATCAGAATGATTGTGCAATACTAGGAACATGTGATATTAAATTCAAATATTGTTCTAGATGATACTGAGCCCATATTATGATAGCAATTTTTGTATAATGTGTTATTGAATTACCACATTTATATACTGTGCATTGTCAATAATATTTTTTGACAGTACTATGTTTAAGTGGAATGCGAGTGGATCTCTGTGTAAGTATATTGCATAGATAATCACATTAATTTCAATAATATGTATATACATAATCTAAAAGTATGTTATCAAATTAAATTATACACACACACACACACATATATATATATATATACTTCATATAAATATATATATATATATATATATATATATATATATACTTCATATAAATATATATATATATATATATATATATATATATATACTTCATATAATAGGTACACAGATCAGATATGTCTTGGACACACTTTGTATATATGCTTGATGTGTATGAGCCTATATGATAATATTCATACATATGTGTACATAATACAAAAAAAAACTAAATTAAGTTTTATGCGATTCCCAATTTAGCTCTTCTTCAGTGGATAAAATATACATACACACACACACACACACACACACATATATATATATATATATATAATATATATATATATATATATATATAGATATATGTATATATATAAAAACAAATTATATTTTATAAGTAGGTTTTAGTCCTTTGTTTTTTTTTTAAATTATATTGAAAATAAATTTTTTGTTGCATTTATTTCACTAGAATATGGTTTAATAATAATAACATAAGTGTTTCGCAATTTAAACAGTTGGCACTTCACAGAATCTCAAAACTATTTATTTTATATTAGGTACACTCAAGAGTGTGTCGATATATTGTAACAAATGTGACCATACCTGAATTGTGCAAGTTTATTAATACAAATTCGTGATGCAGTATTTTACAAAATGATAATAAATATGAATGATACAATCAGAAGATACTCTTTTAATTAATTTTATTTTATATTATAATTGTAATTTTTACAATGATAATAAAACACCCTTATTTAAATTTATTTATTTGCCTGGTAAGTAACAAATGGTGAAAACATTATGATGATCATAGAAAGCTCATCTTCATTTCATATAATGTTATATTTCACAAAATCCAGTAATATTGATTTGAAATATTAAAATCCATAGATTTTACATGAAAATCTTAATTTTTTACTGAATTATTGATACTAATTTTGATAAAACTGCTAGCTAATAATAGTTTAAATGAAAGCAATTAATCATAATAGTCTTTTATAATTTAGTCCTCCATCGTCAATTTGTTTTGGTTAGTATCAACCATAATCATCAATCATTTCGGATTACCTGTTCATTTTATACTTCTTGTATCTATGTGAGTAACAATAATTATATATAAATTATTATCATTTATGTTGTTGAATGAATAATATCGAATATATTATATAATAGTAGATTTTTGTTATTTATGTTATTGTGAATATCAGTTCATTTCAGGAGGGTAACCGGTTACATTAGTGAAAGGCTATAACATTATTATATATAACAAATTTTGTTTTGCAAATAACAATTGCAAAGTCATGAACTTCACATCTAATAGATCAGAAATACGATTGAAATACATTGTGATTAACGTTTTGTTTCAGTTTGACCAGTTACAACTGTGGCGCGTTCATTGAACACTGCGCACAATTTTTATCAACAGAATCAAGCCATGACGAGTACTACATTTGCCAATCGCAGAGTAAGTTGTGTTGGTAAGGTATCGGATGAAAAATATTTATATATTTTACTAAACTGAAACTTTTAATACAAATAATTAATATATATATATATATATATATATATATGTGTGTGTGTATATGTATTAATAGTAATACTATTATTAAACCCAATCGTTTATTACTTGTAACTATTTAAGTATCGTACTTGTAAGTATTTAAGTATCGACTGTTCTTTGTATATAATATTAGTCTTGAGATTAGACAAAAATGAAATTACATATATTCTATCGCAGGATAGCAATCCTTCTCACGCTGTCAAATAAATATACCTGTAAAGTAGCTGAATGTACTGTGTGTATTGTTTGCTAAGTACAATAAAACAAAAAAAAAGCTACGGGAAGTTAAATATATATTCAAAAAACCATACACTGACATCTAGTCAATGCAAAACTGTTGATAATATTTTTAAAACTTTATATTCCTAAAACTCTTGCTCAACATGTATTTACATTTTTATTATTAACATCTGTACGTCATTTTTACATGCAAATATTATAATTAGGCGAAATTATAGTTGAAGAACTTATTTTAGGAATATTGTAAAACTTGTAATTAATTTGATTAATAATTAATTTGTGTTAAGTTGTGTGAATATATTTAAAATAATTCTAAACTTGTAAATTCAAAATTTTTGTAAACTACCTATATGGCTTATTTAAGTTTTAAGTTTAATATTTCGTTTATTAACTTCTATCAATAACATGATTTCTAATCTGTTTCTTACCTAGATAATTAAATTGTCTAAACCACAAATTTAGCCAAACAATGTTTCGTTTGAATTTCGCGCTTTATTGAACATTCATCTCTTCGGCTAACTTCAATCGGCAGCCATCTTGGAACCTTTAAGTGTCAGTTACGTTTCGTGGGCACTGTGAAGTGAACACGCTTTTTCTTAAATAATTATCAATAATCATGTTACTTTTGCAGACCTCTTGATACTAATGATTGTAATAATGTCTATTTGCAGGGATTCCAAAGTATCCTTTTAAAATTATGTGCACACTCGAGTGCTTCAACAAATCATCAATCAGTAATTAAAACCATGTGCAAAAACATTTTATTCGGAAAATCTTTTAATGTCAGTGTAAGTTAGAATTTAGCAGTCATAGATAAAAGAAGAGTATATAGATCGCTCTCTCGGGCCATATTTCGTTGCCACATTCCTGTGTTAGTTGAAGCCCCGCGCTACAGATGGCACTAGTCGCCTGAACGGGTGCGTATAAAAAATACTATAGAAATGAACCAAAATTATATGGACCGTTTTAATTCAAAATTTAAAAAAAGAAAAATTGAAAAAAAAAAAATTTTTGAAGCATTTATTTTTCACAAAAACATTCTACATTATATCTACATAGTTCTCTTTATAAACAATGCACACATAGCATAAAAATGTACATAAATATACACATTATCCACAATGTATATATATATATATATATATATATATATATATAACATTATATATGATTATAATAGATGGTAGTAAGCTGTAAAAACTATGTGCGAAAAGCATAAAAATGTACTTAAATGTACACGCTATCCACAATGTATATATATATATATATACAAATATATATATATATATATATATATATATATATATATATATATATATATATATATATATATATATATATGTGTGTGTAATATCATTTTAGCATATCAGCCTTTCAAGCTGAGCACAAAAAGAATAGAAATGTACATGAATGTATATATTATTTATATATATACATATACATATATAACCACAATTCTTTGATTGATATTGATTCAGATCAATATATAACCAATATATATATATATATATATATATATATATATATATATTTACATATATATTTATTTTGATTAACATTAAGTTACATAATATCTATGATGTACAGTCTCTATTTGGGAATCTTTTCTGCGCTATTGTTAATGTGCATTCAAATGTTTGTTCAAAATGTCATTATTATCATTGTCTTAAAGAAAAACAACAATCATTGATATTATTATAACA